AAAAGGCAGTTTGTGCGTTTATTGGCTGGGCTAGATGCGATGACGCAGCGCAGAGGTGTTCAACTAGCCCGCACGCGCTCTCTTTGCCGACGCCCAGCATTTCACCCGGTCACCTAGATGACTAACCAATAATATATTTGTAAACCTTGAAAAACGTACTAAAACTTTTGTTTGAACCATATTTGCGTATTATTTCTAATTAAAAGTATACATAGATAAAAACAAAATTTTGCACTCTGAAACAAAGCTTTTAACGAAGTTTAAATTTTATATCTCCCTAAGTATTGGTTTTAGAAAAATGTTATAAATACAAAAGTTGTAGGAAAACTAATCAGAAACAAAATAAAATAAATTGCAGCTCGATAGCTGACATAGTATTCGACTTATGATCAATTAAGTAAAACACTGCAATTTCTATGTTTGGAGGGGGGTGGGGGGGAAAGCTCAAGGGGTAGAAGTGGGGACTTTTGGGAAAATACACTTCTCATGTGGTTCTATCACATATACAAAATCCAGCTTTCCACCATTTAGTTGCGATAAAAAGCATTTATTGACTGGGCTATAAGCAGCATTAAAAGCTGTAACTGTCAAAGTAGGATTGTTTACAGTTATGTTTATGTTTTTAATTTAATTAGCATATTGTGTGATATTGTGCGAATGATTGATAATTTATTTTTTTCTATAGTTTAGGTGCAGTTGTAGAACATTATGGCTATGGTAGATGTGTTATGCATACCGTAAATTTAAAGAACCAAATTTGACCAAACTGTGTCCTCCCCCATTGCAAACGCAAAGCTTGAGTATAACTAACTGTAATAAGCATTTTATTCTTATATGCCAACCCCGTGTGAAGGACGGGTGCTCTGTTCGTTAAAAAAAAAACTAGTGTGCCTGTTGCTCCCAATCGAGTAATTGTCAAGTAAACAGGACTTATTTTAAAACTCATTGTATTCGATGCGTATAAAAGACAAAAGTCTAAAGCTTATGTAAGCAATGAACTCGAGCTGTTCATAACAGTTCGATACAAACAAACTTTCTTGTAAATATTTTATCATGTTTCAGAAGCTATAACCTTGTTCTTAGTGTTTTCTACCAGTGTTTACCGACTTACCTTTATCCACATACAGTTTACATCTACACAGCTACAGCATACAGTATGCATCTTCGTCATTGATAATGTAGCCTTCATGGTACCACCATTGTTGCCAGTATCAGTATGTTTACAAATGTCACTAATTTGTAGCACATTGTTCACATTACTAACACACACCTAATAATAAGGCAATAACAATGTGGGGGGGATTACTTACCCGATTATTTTTCTGTCTCCACAGTTTTATTTGCTTCAATTGACATTATTTTGGTTATTGCTGTAATAACATAAATTGTATTTTACCTGAGAAAATACAGAGTTAAAAAGGATGTTGTTCAGGTGGTTTCCCTTAACTGTGAATAATTGAATCCTTCAAAGAACGTTTTGATAAAAGTGTCTGCGGTGTAGTCCAATTCTTATAAAATCCTTTATGGAAACGCAGATTGAATGTCCTTGACGTACCAGTTTTATTCATCCTTAGAGTGCTTGCCTTTGCAATTATCACAAAGCAAGTCCATGATGTTTCCTACTAAAAATGGTAGCACTTCGGCCAACATTCTCGTTCACCATTTGTAGGAATCAATGTTGTGTTCATCACAATATTGGATAACGAAAATAAATTCGTATTTAAATTTCTTCTACTTAGTGGCGTTCTATGACTTCTGACTATAATGTAAACAAATCTGTTCTTCATATAAATAACATAGGAATCTTAAAAGCCCATGGGACAGAGCCCAAGGGACTGTTTTTAACATGTTAGACATTATATGACATCTAATCAATGAGATCTGTCAAATGAGCCATAAACTAACAAAGTCAGTTGAGAATCCACGGAAAAGTTCTGACGACAAAATTCGTGCTTACCATAGAAGACTAGCTGCTGTACCCGTCCTTTGCAACGGGAAGAAGATTGAGCTTCGAAGAACGGGTGTCCCCTTTATATCATTAAACTATGTCATAAATAGCCTTTCAATGATTACATTTAATTTAATCTCAGATTTTATAATAATGAAAAGTAAACGTTTAACAATAGGATTCCGAATGTAGACTACTTATAATTGTAGGATCCAAAGAAAAAAGTAAAATCAAAGATAAGCAACTATAGGGTACCTATTTAAAACTTCAGAAGTTGTGGTAGTAAAATTATGATGGTTTGGTAAGAACTGATAAATGTAAATAATTAATAAAACATATGATTTTATCTTCAAATGGCAGGCATTTTACAAGCGAATGACAAAGCCATATCGGTAGCTATTGGAAAAGCGAAGTCTGATTTCCGGACACGGAAAGTAAATATGGCAGGCATAGAGAGTATACATAGTAGGACTACTTCTAACACAATTTGAATTTAATTTGTGACGTCAGTATTGACTGTAGAAAAATAAACAAACAGTCGGACGTCACCAAACCAGATGAGCTGCATGCTACAGATGGAAGGCGGAATGTGAATCATTCAACCCGGAAAGTCTGACGTCAACCGAGGACATTCAAACATTCTCACGTAAAGGAACCTTATGGGGGTGGGGGTGGAAGGGGGAAGCATCAGATTCAGTTAATTATATCTTAAATTTAACCTACTACACACGCATTATTCTTGTGATCGGCTGGAGACAAAGGTTAGTTCTTTCTGGGTTTTTCCCATTTATCCAAAATTGGTCGGCTTTACTAGGTATAAACAATGTAGCCGCATGGTTCAATATTTTACATAATTTCATTTTTTGGTTGCTTCCTTCGGGTTAATATTTCCATATAAAAAGAACACTTTATTTGTTGGTCACATTAATACTTGCTTGGGAGACTGTCTAATGGTTTGATGGGATTATTGAGGAAGGTCAGAGTTGAGAGTCTTCACTGCTTGGGGTCCATGTAGAGATTGATTTATTTCCGCTTTATGTAAAGTTTGGTTTGTTCTGAATTTGTTTCTTACAACTCACCTCCATGTTAAATATAATAAATTGTAAGTTGCCGAAGGAATTCGGTCACTGTCCACAATAATCTGTTCCACGGCATAAATACGAAATCTTTATTAAATATTATCTCTTATAGATTACTATGAGTTATGTTTCCCGTAATTGAACAATCGATGTTATTTATTTTGCTTAACCAACTATTTGAGCTACATAAACAATCTTGTTGGAAATATCGTCTAAAATAACAAGTCGTCTTGTGGATCAAAAATTAAGTTAATTTAATAGTAAAACTGATGGAATGAAAAACTTAGATTTGTGTATACATCTTACTTCATCAAAATATAACAAACAACTAAACTCTGTTGCCAAGGAAACATCATATGTTCTTTTCTAACATAACTATTATGGACATTATAATATGAATAAATTACATCTTTAACAAATCTACTTGTAAACTATTACTCTTCGTCATGTATTGTTGGTATTTTAAGGAGCGTTGGTGCTAACAGATTACAATTTTCTCACTTCCGGGGTATCATAAGAATTTAATGAAAATAAAACACTTAAAAATTACACGATTGGGTCATGCTCCAATTAAAACAAAGCATTTTAATTTGTGGTATACGCTAGACGGCTAGATTTACTAGCCAGCCATAATAGAGGTATCAACGCATGATCGTATTGCAACATTTTCTGTTGTAATCCAGAAAAACGACACTACCATGGAAATATTCCTCATTCCTGAATCATATTTTAAGAGTAGTTTTATCCTTTTGCGAAGGAAAAAAACACACATTTTCCGCTCAACCCTAAGTTGATAATAATTAGACAAAACAAAACAACAAATTAACTGCATTAACTGCTAATTAGTTAAACATGTGAATCTGTTAATAAATTGACGGATAATCTTCCTAATGACGTCATCCTTGATAATCGTTAAAATAACTCCATTATTTTTTAATGGAAACACGTGCCTACTGGTGGAGTTAATTTACATGGTAATAATTCAGCAAAGTAATTATATTGCAAAATCTTCAATTATTATAAGTTAAATAATGTTGTTCAATAAAAAGTATTTTCTTACAAACCTGATTAGTTATTTGAATTGCTATTAACATGATGATTGAAATCTACGTATGCATTTTTCTAGACCGATAAAAAAAAGTCGCCAGTAAAATTTTGGAGAAAATATCCTGCGGGAATTGTATTTACTGTACCTATTACAAATTCGAGAATGCTACAAGTGGACTGTGACAAACAAACCGTTGCTCTAATCACTTGGGCTAAGAGGCATCACCAAATAAGTCAATAAACAGACATAATTATTTTCCAAATAAATCTTAAAATAAGACCGAATAAATAAAATTAGTATTAAAACTGTTTAACTCATTGATAACTTCGTGTTGTAAATTATAATAAGCATCATTTGAGAAAAGTATGAAGCATGGAATACAATTGAATGAATTCACTCCACCTAGATATTGTATGGAATACCCACAGCCAAGCAGTGTATTAAATAAAGAGAATCGTTCGTAACATAATATTAGTTACTTTACACTGTTGAAATAGTTTGTGAATAGAAGATGTTTGTTACAAAAAATCAGAATCAATATACAGGATTACCTTTGGAACCACCAATTGTAGTTTTTCAATTGCTTTTTTGTTTTTTTTACACAAACACAATATTTTGTTTAGGTAATGTTGTTGCATATGGATTAGGTAATTTTAGGAAATGGGAATTTTCTACTTTACCTGTAGTGCCAATGGGTATTCTATAGAAAACCCTAGGCAGAGTATTAAGCTTTGGCCTGACTCATTTTAACGTATATATTACCTGATAATTCACTTTGCCGGTAACATATACTGTAAACATCAGCGGACCTAGTACAATACCCTGTGCGACGTCACGTGACAGTTATCAGCTGATCCTGGGGTGCTCGGCCGTGACCTTGGCTCCTGGTATATAAGGACTCCGCCCTGTCGCCTCCCACAGTCCACCATGATGACCCCTAGAGTATACCTCGTCGCCGTCGTAGCTTCAGCACTGATCGCGTCAGCCCTTGCCGCTGCCGCCAGCAAGCTGCGTAAGTGCAATTGTTTATAAATTTCTTAATTAATTGTACGATTTGGATTGTTAAAAAAATGTGACGTAAATATTTGTTTTAAAAATTTTGAAATATTTACAAATAAATTTTTTTTTTAATTACAATTTTTTTATATTTTTATTTAAATGTTTTATAACAATGAAATTGCCATGTAGTATTTTGTTGCATTTATAAAATGTAATATAATAAAATAAATAACAATTTAAAATCATAAAATATAAATTAACTAAAGGTAAAATTAACAAATGTTACAAATGGAATACATAAGAATCTTATTAACATTTTTAAACTGCAACAAGGTTTTCGTTTATTTGTTCAATTCAACATTTATTTTAACATGTTTTGTATAGAAAACGATAATTACATGTGTTTCTTCTTATCATTTAGCCTTTCTATCTACAAGAACCATAAATAAAATTTGATACTTCTATCAATAAACAGTATGCATTTTTTTTATTACATAAAATTACAAGCTAAATACCTGGGGACCGAGCCAAGGCTTGTTATAGTTTATTTACATTGTACCCCTATATCGAATAATCTTCAGAGGAATCTTTGCTCAATAGTTACAACTGATGTTTTCCCTTTGTATACTGTATTTTGCTAGTACACCTGCAAGGGTGGCTTGTTATCAACACTTGTTACAAGTCTTTTGTTGACTTTTTCCTTGTTATTTTGTTGAACCAACACCTACTTGGCAACCGATAAGGCCAATGTTCAAACATTTAACTTTCAATTAAATTTTTTAACAGAATTATATTTTTATTGGCAGTTTTAACTGCAGTAAACACGTGTTTAGGCCACACGTAAATTATTTACAATATTTGAAGGAAATCTTCGTTTTCGAGGGATTTGTGCAAGCATACATACATACAAACAAACATCTTACTAATATTATAAATGTGAAAGTTTGTGTGTTTGTTTGTTTGAAGTTCAATCACGCATAAACCACTGGACGGATTGGGCTGAAATTTGGCATGATGATAGCTTACATTCCCGATTAACATATAGGCATATTCTTATCTCAAAAATCCTTTCGGGCTCCGCCCCAGTGGCTCTGTAATTCCCCATGTTAACCTTATGAGTATTCATATTTAAAGGGAATTAAAGAATTTAGTCAGCTGTTTCAACTAAAAAAGTTGGTTCTATGATATGGAAAAGCATTAAAAAGTTATAAGATTTACCAACAGGGTGCAGCACTATATTTTTTTTGCATTTATGAAAACAGCTAATTTGAACTAAGCAGCAACAAAAAACTGTGATTCGCAATGAGAACTGTCAAAGTAGGATTGTTTACAGTTATGTATATGTTTTTCATTTCATGAATAATTTGTGATATTTTGCGAATTGATCATTTATTTTTCTCTATTGTTTAGGTAAAATGGTAGAACATTATGGCTATGGTAGATGCGTAATACTATAGAATACTGTAAATTTAAAAAAGCAAATTTTATCAAACTGTGTCCTCCACCCATTGCAATCGCAAAGCTTGAGTATAACTGCAATAAGCATTTTATACTTATATTCCAACCCCGTACGAAGGACGGGTACTCTGCTAGTTGCTCATATAAAAGTATAGGAATAGGATAGGATAACAAATTAAAAAAAACTAGTATTATGTTTTTAAATAATTGATAAATACTAAGCTGATAGTTTTGGTCCTGAGTCAAGTGACATTTAAAATTATGTGGTAACACCGAGCATTACTTTCACTAAAACATATTTAAAAGAAAACAAATTAAAAATAATGAACAAAAAATATTTTATTTTGAAGACTGTTTGAAAGTGATATGTAAAATTTTACCAGGAAAACTTTGTTCGTAGTGAAAAATAAATAGGATAATGTATATGATGCAAATAAGCAGTTTTTATAACGTCTTTATCGAGATCCCTTTTCCCAAATGACAATTCAGGAAAACTGGATACATTTCCCTAACTCAGGTGTGAAAAACAGAAGAATGTCGTTGTTTGAGTTTTAAATTAACGTTCACGAGGTAATTTATTCACATTCTCCGCAGATTCTTCTTCAGCTAAATACTCATTTTACTGTCTTTGAATTGATCTATAAAGCTAATAAGGATCAAACTGTTCAGAAATCCTTAAGTAGCACACCAATCAACCGTATACTTGAATGAAAGGATTGATGTGAAACTTTCCCAAAAAGACATAATTTTTCTTAAAAACCTTATCCTAAGGGCACGAACCTCAATTAAAAGGCTGTACTTAATCACATTCAAAATACTGAAGATGCATCAGATGTTAGAATATTTTATTTATAATTTGTTAGTTTATCTTTTCTCTGAGTTAACCTTTTCACCTTACAATAAAGTTATTAGTTTTGAATCTGCCACTCAGTTTAATACAAATACACAAGAGATTTTCTCTAAAATAAGCAATAAGTACGATTGAGATTTTCCTGTTTAATTTGCATGGTAAGTGTGTGTAACTGTTTTCTTAAAGTTGGTTAAAAGACTTACATTATTCTCTTGAGTTGCCTTTATCTTTGATTATCTCTCATTATCTTCGAGTATTCTTGCCCCGTTGTGAAGCACGGACAGAACAACTAGTATTAATAAAACCAATACTCTTAAGTCTTAATGATTGTTTATAAACTGTTCGTATAACGTCTATCCATGTTTTTAGTGAACTTTGGCGATAATTTTAGTTTCTATGGAAAGACAAAGGACCAAATCATACTTTTCCCTTATGTTTTGAAATATAAGGAATATGCATTGCTCATGATAATCCATTAGTTTACTCTATGATCAGTCTTTACTAATTAATCTGTAATTTGTTAAAATAAAAATGTTCTTTGGTTGGATTGCAGCTGTATCTTGGCTGTGTAAGCAGGTTATTGATTGTTAACATAATTGTCATTCCTTTCAAAGGCAATGTTTCCATTTAAAATATTCAAAATTATTTGGTAAAATACGAGTCATCCTAAGTTAATGGATTTTAACAGTAGATTTTTTGGCCTCGAAATAAAAATGTATTTTTTGGTAGCTGATACTTCGGAGACAGTTAGAGTTTTAAAAATGTCAAAGAATATATATTTTAAAGATTACAACCTAAATTTTCTATACAACCATGAAGCCTTCTTCTCGAAAAAATTAACTAGGCTCCAAACAAAAATTGTGAGTGAGGTGAACATTTCTTGAACGTCGAGTAAATATAAAGAAAATTCACATTTTTACTTATATTTTATATCAACTCTTCTAACCAACACCAACATAGGTGAAATACGCGGACCATATCACACTGTATACTGCATTTGCATGACCATTCGGAGACTTAAATGCACGGTTTGATGGATTATAATATTAAACAATTTAAGTTAGGATTGTAGACTTTCAGATAACCAAGATAAAGTACGAGTATTGACCTATTGATGATGTAATAACTGTTATTTGATTGTATTTTTGGCATTTACTTATAAGATTATAAAATACTAGTTTAGTTGTTAATTTAAAATAATTATATAAGTAATAATATATTTTTATCTAGCAATATTTTTTACTTCGGGTTTTATAGACTTTTTATTTCTATATTTATGCGTTAATATAGCAAATAAAAAATCAACAGTAAATTTTTTATTGTGGAATTTTTTGTGTTTTTATTGTATAGTACCTATGTGAAGTGTGGTGAAATATGAAATTGTTATAAGAATTGAAATAAGCTGATTAGAAAATACTTTTTATGCTATACAAATTGTTATTATCCCCAAATTCAGTATAGTTCCTTGATTCAAAATACACTTAAATGCAAAATATTGAAGCAAATGTCAATGACAAAAAACTGTTTGGTTTTCAAAACAGTATCTAATTGTGTTAGCTATCTCAGACTCAAGAACTTTAATTGTATTCAAGTAATTATCTTTGTTCTTTGTTTTCTGTGTTCTTGAGTAGTAGGCCTAGTTCGACCCTACGTACATTTCGCCAGCGTGACATGTTCCAGCGGTCTTCTTATGTTATTGCATGATTAAAATATAGACAATATTCTTACTGTCTATTTACCTTCAAACATATACGTCAACGTGTAAATATTTGTTAACATTAGATAAATTTACATGAACACTTTGGGAAGAGGTTGAGATCAAAGTTCATGAAATTAAAAGCATACTACGCTTTTCCATACTATTTACCACATTTATTGATACTACAGCATGTATTGAATTTATTCTGACTAAAGCAATATAATATCTTATTACATGTATTCATTTATATAGTGTACTGTACCTGTTGCTCAAATTTGAGTAATTGCGAAGTATTACAGGTGTCATTTTAAAACGGATAACAGTACAGTAATAATTTCCGATGAATGTTTAAAAAGTCGACTCAAAAATTATGGAAATACTCGGGATGTACATAACAGATCGATATAATCAATATTTCTTGTAAATATCTTATCAATTTTCAAAAGCTGATCTTGTTTTTAGTGTTTTCTTCAAATATTTCCCTTTCATAGCCGCATTAGGTTGTACATAATAACGATAACAAATATTGAAAAAAAAAAAATTTATTTCTATTTCTTCTACTTTATGGTGTTCTATGACTTTCCTATGTTTCCATAGTTTGCAAATCGGATCTTTCAATGATTGCTCAAGAAATGCAGCACAGTGTTAATTCAGTTTTATTTTTAGTATATCAAATTGACCAGGCTTACTCGTTTTATCCATTGTAATATTTACGCCAACCCAAATTCAAATAGTAAATATTTCATTTCATCCAAGTCGGTAAATGTTTGTCGCACACGTTTCCTTAAATTGCAACTAAAATATTTACAGCAATTAAATTATCCAGCTAATCATAATGTAAACAAATATGTTCTTCATAAGGTTAACATGGGAACTTTAAAAGCCACTGGGGCAGAGCCCAGACTTTTCCAAACTGTAAGGCCAGTTTGTAAATCTACACAACTAGACAAACATTTTGGTATATTATATGTGGGGTTAAATGTTAAAACAAAAAACCTTATTGTTC